AAGTTACCCTTTTTTTCATCTCGAAGTTGTTTAGCCCAGAAACATATTGATCTATAATTTGAAGCTCAAGGGAAGTATATGGGATTTCAGGATAAGCAAGCAAAGCTAATCTACGAAGCTGATACCCATAGTCAGAAGCCGAATCGTCCTTGCCCTGACGCCTATTTCGGAACTCGCAGCGATATGCTACACTCCTCTCTTTTGGATTGAACCGTTGTGTCAGAAATTTTTTTATTGCTACAAAATTGCTCAGCTGACCATAAATAAGATTACTAAGTAAAGCATGTGCTGTACCACGCAAACCCATTAACAATTGCTGAGCTTTTTCATACTCATTCCAACCATTCCATGCTACTTGCTCAAAATGATCAATATAATCCTGCCACTCTGTTTTTTTTCCATCAAACGTATCAGGTTGTTTTTCCCGTCTCTGAACCCTGAAACTCTGCAAACTTTGTTCCCTAACCCTACTCTGATATGGGGAAGAATTTGCTGTTCCCACTGTGCTACCCATATGGACTGTACCTGCTGGTATCATTGATGGTTGACCTTGCCCACCCTGTAGTTGCGATGACTCAAACCTAACAGATCTACTACTGTTACCACCAGGATTTGACAGCTGCTGGGAATCCACACCAGAATTTGGAAATGTCACATTCCCTGTACCGGTAGGACCAGCGTGTACCTGCTCCAGGTCTCCCTCCCCAAGATCTATCAATAGTGGCTGGATAACCTGTTGTGAACCATGGTAAGGTGTTGAGGTATATGGCAACCTACTGACAGATGAGACATCATGATAAGCGTCCTCTATTACTGAGGGTACTAATAAATCAGAGGGGCCAGACAAATTGTAAGTAGCTTCCATTTATTCTAACTTCTTATGTACCCTACACAAAAAATAAACACTTCACATCTACAATCCGGGTCACGGCACCAAATGTAAAAGGAACGGCTGTCACAAACAATGTCTCATGCTTTGCGTTGTGTTCGTCATTCTTAAGCTACAACCGACCTATTTCCCAGTTCTTTTAGGATGAAGAGGAGTGATTAGAAAAATAAATAAACAAAGTCAGAGTAACAAAATATATAGTTTATTCAATAAATCAAGGAAACTCAAATTATAAACCTAGCCCCCACCCTCAAAATCCTAAAATTACCCAACATGCCGTTTTGACCACTTTTCTACCTAGCCAGTTTGCCCTACATCACTCCCAAGATAATCCTGCATCCCTGCTATGCACTGCACTTCCGTAAAATATCACCCGTCCCGTCCACTATCTTACCGGTTTCCCAAAGAGTCTTAACTCTACCAAATTCCTCTCATATTTTATTAAAGAACATTTGGACATAGATCCCCACAGATCTACTGGGAACTAACTCCGTCACGGAGTTATGAGTGGTGCTGTCACCTCACCTGTATCGATCAACCGATAACGCAAGACAGTCTACCCCAGGTGTCAAGCCCCCTTATATTTGCCGCGCCAACCGACCTCTGACCTCTTCCCGTACTTATACTAGACGCGATTGGTCAAGAATCCGCCCGTCACCCAATCAGAACGCTCCTATCAAACGCTCTGACCGGAACTTGAAACCAAAATGCACCCACGTGCCGACCATGCGATAGGAACCCAGCTGGGAATAAACATTTCCCCCATTCCACGACCAATAGGTAAGTTATAAAGAAATATAAAGGTGGTAAATTGACTACGAGTCACCGGGAGTACACGGCATAAGTTACGGTATTCTTTTTAATAAAACAGTAGTTAATATTTTCATTACTGAAAATACGTTTCTGTCACATATGTGATAATATCTTAATTCTACAGATTTACTCAAATTGTATTGAATAAAACATGTCAGTGTTATTTTGTATTTCTACCTAGCATTAAACTATTTGGTTATTTCTAACATGAATACTACATCCCCTATGGTATACTGCACTAACTGTATAGGGTTCATTGCTCACACACGACAAATCTAGTCAGGATAGTGTGACCTATTTTCCCGCGTGGATTCCCCTCCACACCTGGCAATCTCATTCGGGCGTTTCCTGTGACGTCATCGTGCACCACCGGTGAAGTTATGTGGTTCTGTCAGTTAGTATTCATCAGTTGTAAATTGTTTACATGTTGTGCATAAAGCGTTCCGGGACAGTGATGTCGATTTTCTCCTTTATTCCCCCAAGAGCTAATTCCCCGTCAACATGCGCGTTGACACTTCATTAATCCCTGTCCGCCCAACTGCGAACGTTTCAGAAATAATCCTACAATCGTGTGAAAATAATAATAATAATAATAATAATAATAATAATAATGGTATCATTACGTCTCTATTGTTCACAATGGGGTCACGGGTGACCCAGTCGACTAAGGCGCCACAATTCGCTGTGTGCGTGTACCTTGGGCACATTCAAAAACTATGGTTGTAGGTTCGAGTCCCGATTATGTTTCTTGGTTTGTCAGCACCATACCCGTGCTCGTGGGTTTCACCAAAGTGGGTTATGTCGGAGACCTGAATCACTTCTGGCCTTGTTTCTGACACGTGATATAACTGGAAAATACTATTAAAAGCGATGTTATATCTAACTCACTCACTCACTATTGTTGACAATAACAACCTCAGTCAGTTATTCAAATATGACTCAAATATCGTGAACAGCCTGCTTAACAATCAAAATGGATGCTGTTGAAGCCAAAACTTTAGCCAACCGATGGACCTGGAGTATGTCTTTCGGAGTCAGATGTGGTCATAGGTAGAATACACAAACTTAAAAAGAGGAAAAAGTAATTTGAATAAACTCACTAGATCACAGCCAGGCGTCCCACGTGACAGATGTGTCGTTCTTTCCATAGACAAGGCCTCCGATAACATCACCGTTATGTGTCAGCATTAATTATGTGATCAAAGAACTTGGTGTGCGACCTCTCTGACCTTTGGAAAATTAACAAACTCCACGAACGTGCAGTAGCCAGAAGCTACCCGTGGAGCTATGAGGACAACGCAAGGGAAGGATGTCCCTTCCTATGGCACTATAAATGGGCGGGCACCAGGTTTAAGCATGGCAGGGAGAGCCTTGAAGTCGATCCCATGACCAGATCACGAATACCAGAAATCCTGCTGCTAGTTCAGTCTAGGAAGCATTTGCCAGTATGTTCCCATTCCATTCTCCCAGAAACTTTGGCAATAAAGAAGGTATCAGCTTGTTTGGCATCTGTTATATGGCAGTGTATTTTATTGTTTCACACTGATTGTAATTGTTTTACATTGTTTCTGTTGAGATTCGTTAGACGCTCAATGCATTGTGGACAGTGATCAGTCGTCAGAACGTTACTATTTTAGATGCTCGTGTGTTAATTTCCGGTCCAGTTCACCGCGGACGTTGATCGTATGTTATAGAAACATGTTGAATGTTCCAGTGCCGCTGGTTTTTGAGGGCACTGTGTAGAAATTTCAAGAAGCTTGTTAGGTTGTGTATATATTGGGACAATAGCGTGTTTAGATCTTTCTCTCGCATTTCATCACATTTGAACCAGCTTTCATGTGCGGATCACTCATCATTCCTGATTCCCCACCTAGCTCATCTCGGAAGCTCAACCAATGTCGCCGCTGGTTGCATATAGATTATTATCACTGACTTTGCTGTATTTCTGTACATGATACTGACCACTGATGTCATATATATTGCAATTGAATATTTAACTACCTTTCCATTGTTTACTGTGATTGTTATTGCTGTGCAGCAATTTGTGTTGATTTGTAAACCTAGTTAGTTTTGCAATACAATTGTTAATTTTATACCATTTGTTGGTTGTTTGTTGGTTTCACACTAAGTTCTTCACGTACATATTTCCACGTCCGAAGTGGTAAACGTCTGAGACCTACATCACTTCTGGCTTTCCTCCCACATCAAGCTTACACGCCACGATATAACTGGATTACTGTTAAAAGCGGCGTTAAACCCAACTCACTCACTATTTCTAGGTTGATATATTGTTACAATTTTGGAATCGACACGTAACACGTGTAATTAAACACGCACCAGACACAACATTTCTCATGATAATCTAGCTCTGTTTGAAGCTGATCCAGAAAGGTTTTTGCTACGATTTGTGACTATGTATAAAACCTGGGTCACCGGTCAAAACAGTTGAAGCAACTACCCAAGGCGCCGAAGACTGTCCCATCAGCTGGAAGTGTTATGGCCTCCGTGTTATTGGACGCCGACGGTGTCATCATAGTGGACAATCTTAAAAAAGGCCAAACAAGACACAGAACATTGGGGCGAATACGAGATAAAGTTAAAACTAATAGGAAGCGGAGGAAAGGTGTGATCTTCCATCAAGACAATTCGCCAGTGATCAACACAGTTCCTTCCATGGCTACTATAGTCAACTGTGGATGTGAAGATCTTCAATATCCCCCTTATTCTCCTGCGTCTGTTTTTTTTTCGAAACGATTTTAGTTAAGATTAATCTTAACAACTAATTTCAAAGATAAATATATCTTAATTTTACCATAAGCTACATTTTCGGAACTACCACACGTAGCATATTGGTTAGATCTATGACACTTATCGTTACTTTCACAAATAATTGTTGTTTTGTAGATTTAAAAAGAGGAGTGTTTCCCAAAGACATCACTGGGATTTTCCCGCATCACAACTTCTGGTGTTTTAGTACGATATGTGAAACAGAGTTAAATTCGCCCTAATGCTGTCAACACATGTTTATGTCCCTCAGAAATACCATTCAGTGTGTCATTATACGACACTGACTGATTTAAGGCTTTGTTTATAAACAGCCGTCAACTGCAAATGCACTGCAGTAAATGTAACATGATACTTAATTACTACTGTACTACTATACTGTGGCTACTCTTCAGGACAAGTTTAACTTAAATATTCAGCGAGACATTTTGTTCTGCAAATCAGAGCGGCAATTCCGATGCATATAAAACATATGTACAACTTTCTTATTATGACATGTTATGTTTCGTTCTAGGTGCTGTGAACACTACAAGACTATGGACCAAAAGGACAGGCCAAAATTATATGCAAATGCGGATTATGGTATGTACCAAAGGCTGTTACCATCTCCTAGAAATCTTTGTCCAGTTTCTATATCTATATCAGTAAGATACAAAAATCAGGAGGACATGAAATAGTGCATCAAATAAATACTAGTATTAGCGACAAAAACACAAATTTCATATTCATAAGAAATATCTGCTTTTGTGGATATGCCATCGTGGCATGGATATGACATCGTGTAATGTCCAAAATAAAAGTGTTCACTATGACGTAATTCCTTCTATGTGAGACTCAGAACTTATCAAACAGCCTTCATATTACACATTAACGAAGAGCATGATTTACACAGCCGGGTCATGTGCAGCTTTCCGAGGCAAGAGAGTTAACTGACTATAAAAGTCCAGTTTCAACCCTTGGTTCTGTTCCACAAAAGAGTGTTTTACTTTGCTCAGCGCTGTCTACACTTCTCTGGTCAACATCAACATTGGCCGAACTGATGGCCTTTTGTTGACAAGGATGATTCACGTATGCTGACGGCGTTGTATTACATGAAATATGTTGTCAAGCCGTTTTCCTTTTGTTTTACAAGTTGAAACAGTAAATGTACTGACGTTATAAAAGTATCGATGCTCACGATGTCAAACACTGGATTGTCTGGTCCAGACTCGATTATTTACAAATCATTTGCAAGTGATGGAATCGGATTGGTCCATAGGAGAGGCTTAGAAGGGACATAACGCACAATAACCACTGGTGGCGCTACGATCGAGCCCAGGAATACCAGCCTAGTTTGGCAAGGGTGGAAACTGGACTTTTTATAGTCAGTTAACTCTCTTGCCTCGGGAAGATGGATCATGTGCAACCCATATATTCCTTCATATATTTGTCTTGTTTTGTTTACGATCAGTATCTTGATGTGATTTCAAATTAAATATGTTAAGGCTTAATCACTCTTGTTTTATTGAACACACGTTTATTGACTGCCTCCTTGATGTAGTCGTAGCGCGTCTGCTCAGAAAGCGGAAGGTCCGGGGTTTGATCCCCGGCCACGTCATACCAAAAGACGTTAAAAGATGGTACTTGTTGTTGCCCTGTCTGGTGCTCGGCATTAAGGGGCTGGTCGGCTCGGAGTCAGTATACTGTGTCTGAGTGGGGTATTCATGTTAAACTGTGGTATGGTATGTCAGTGAACTAGCACTTAAAATCGGCATCAGTCCGGACTAGAACAAGAACACACACACACACACACACACACACACACACACACACACACACACACACACACACACACAAACACACACACACACAAACACACACACACACACAAATGCACGTCGCTATATAAGGTCAAAAATCTTGAATGAGACATTAAATCCCATATTGACACTGAAATGGCCATGTGTTTATTCATGACATTTGCCTAATGCAAATCATCTTACTCTTGCAGGATTAAAACGATCTCCGCCCGTTGCCGTAGGTGGGTATAGATAGGATTAAATGTAAATATGTCCAATTGTAGGGCACAGAACACAGAATAGGAACTTCTACTCGTGTTCCGGCCATCAGCGAAACTGTTGGGAACGACCGTCTTAATATTTTTTGGAGAACGAATATTCAATGTTTCAAGACATTGTGCGCAAGTTTCCCTTTTTAATGGACATCAAATGAACAATGAGTTTATTAGTATTTTGCAAACGCGTTCCATTCCAAGCATGTATACCGAGAAATATAGGCTGCTTACAGAATGGTTCTGTTCCACAAAAGTGTTTTACTTTGCTCAGCGCTGTCTACACTTCTCTGGTCAACATCAACATTGGCTGAACTGATGGCCTTTTGTTGACAAGGATGATTCAGTGATGCATACGGCGTTGTATTACATGAAATATGTCGTCAAACCGTTTTCCTTTTGTTATACAAGTTGAAACAGTAAATGTACTAACGTTATACAAGTATTGATGCTCACGATGTCAATCACTGGATTGTCTTGTCCAGACTCGATTATTTACAGACCGTCGTCATATAGAAGTAGCTGGAATATTGCTGAGTGTTGCATATACAACAATCAAACAAACAAACGCAACGTAATACAAGTGTCTGTGAATCGAGAACAACCCAAATTTCGCCAAGAATACTCAAGCAAGCGTCGGTCCCGTCTCCACTTTACCAGAAAACCACGGCCTTTCAATACTGATTCTACAGTAAGGTCACTATTGCACAAAAGTTGTATACGTGTTGTTGCTTTGTCCAGTGTTAGAATGTGACCTACATGGATGTCGCGTTGAAACCCTAGACGAACTGTACAGAGGACAAGTTGTTGGCTCAGATTTTAGAATTCTAAATTATCCTTGTCACCTTTAAAACCAATGTTATACCCCCATCACACCAAACTAGCTCGCAATACCTTCGTGAAATTGTTGTCAAACGGGCCCCACCTGTGTATGAACGTTGTGGACGTAGTAGAAACTATTGATAGTCTTTTTACGAACTTTATGGACGGGCTCGGACGGGGAGGGTGCTCTAGAACTTTGAGTCTGCCAAAGATTTTATCCCGTCCATTCCGTCTTGCAATTAGTCGGATTGAAAACGTACTTAAAACGAGAAAGACGTATTACTAACGGAATTGGCGTACTTGAACCTACTAGGGGCGTGTGACGACGTGGTGCAGTAGGACATAAATTTCAGTACAAGTGCACACCGATCGGGTCCGTTTGTTACTCGTTCATCCCGTTCGGTGACAAACCCAATTGACTGCATTACGTTCTTAGTCAATCCTTATTCCGTGCAAATAATTTTCAAACCAAATATAAAATTCTGAAGCAGTTTGCAACACGTTTCTACATGGTTCTAAAGGTTCTTAGTAGGTTCTCATAAAATTCTCCTAGTTTTGAGTATGTTTATGCAGTTTTCACGCAGTTCTTTCTTCAACCACCCCGTCTGAAGTACGATAGGACAAGCTAGGGTACACATACAGCTACGGTTTCAGGTTCATCAGACGGGCTTGAGATTTCGGGCAGTGCGCATCGTTTCCTGACGTGAAGATTTTCAAAATTTGTGCCCAGAACCATTGATAACTTGGCATACATTAAACATTGAATGTTGGTTTTATCCATTTATGCTGGAAGTAGAGGAAGAGTACAAGGAGATGGTAGAGGAAGAAAGGAGGAGACAAGTAAGAAACTGTTGGGTGAGGAAGTGGCTGAAACCTAAGAGGAGAATAGTTGTGGGACATTATCATCAGCTGATGGAGGAGCTCCGTCTGGATGATCAAGAGTCCTTCTACAAACGTCTTGAGAATTACCCGACCCATGTTTGACGAACTTCTTTAACGAATCACCCCCTTCATTAAAATAAACAAGACACCAACTACAGAAAGGCTCTTGAACCCGGTATGAAGCTTGCCATCACACTGCATCATCTGGCAATAGGAGATTCCTATGCCACCTCGCAATATGAATTGAAGGAAGCCCCAAAACGCAATATGCTTGTTGGTGAAACATGCCTGTGAAGCCTTGGTGATGGTGCTTAAGAAAGAAGTCATCACATACCCTGTTGTCAGAGCCACTTGGGAAGAAGTTGCTGAGGATTTCCGCATGCGCTGGAATCTCCCACATGCCTATGGTGCCCTCGATGGGAAACATGTTGCCATCAGAAAGCCTCCCAGACTGGAACAATGTACCACACATACAAAGGCTTCTTTTCAGTCGTAATAATGGCCCTGGTAGATGCTGATAACAAATGTATGTGGATAGATGTCTTTTTGGAAGCCAGTCTGTGTAGAAAATGACTCATCTTCCCGAGGCAAGAGAGTTAACTTATTATAAAAGTCTAGTTTCCACCCTTGCCGAACTAGACTGGTATTATGGAGTTACATTTTGGCTGGACTAACGAGACTATGCATATTCCAATCAAAATCGCGCAGCGAAATCGAAATCTGGTTCGTAAACTGTCATGCAGAGTTCGGTCGATTGCAGGATTTGCAAAGCACGTGAACCGTCAACTCGTTGTCAACAGATGTTTTTAAATCTTTTAAATTTTTGTAATCAAGGTGCTCACATGATATGAAGCACTTTTGTCTGGGCGCCGCCATTTTGTTTGAAGCAGATGCAAGTGATACGAGAGATGGAATCTGATTGGTCCATGGGAGAGTTATAGAGAGACATAACTCATAACAGCCACTGGTGGCGCTACGAGCCCAGGAATTCCAGCCTTGTTCGGCAGCTGTTGCCAGTGACTGTACAGACCATTTTTTGAAGCTTGTGTGTGCCTTCTCAACCTCATCCGTACCCGAACCCCAGCCATTCAAAACATCCATGTGGATGCTGAAGATGCTGCACACATCCTCATCCCTTGCCTGGAGACAAGGTGCCAACCTGCCAGACTGCCACTTCCCACAGGAAAGACAGGGACACTGTTGTGGCCAAGAGACAAAGGGACTATTTAAGAGCAAATTTCAACAGCCCAGCATGATGGGTGCCACGGCAGGACAGGATGATTGAACTATGAGAGCCATGATTGAAACACTGTTTGATGTTGAATTTTAGCTTATGACTTTTTACCATTTTAATGTCTGTTGGTAAAAAAATGTTCTGTTACCATCATTTCAAAATGTACATGAGATGTCAAGCTGTGGTGCAATGAAAGTTTTCTATCTGAAACGATGTTGTCTTAGTTGATTCAATCGCGTTTTCTACAATATACATGGCATTGTATCTAGACACATGCACAAAAGTTAAGCGCCACCCACCATATTTGTGAGCTGTTACTTTTGGCACTTAATGATGACTATTATGACGAGATGTACGATTGCTATAAGCCGTATATGTAAACCTCATGTGATGCAAAAGTTGTCCCAAAGCAAGTTTATCTTGTGTTCCAAAATAATATGAGCAGAAAGGAATTTTACCGAAACCCAAAAATTGAAGGATTAGAAAACATTGAAAAGCTTTTCATGACGTGCGGCTTCAAGTCCAGTGAGATTTTGAACTGGGGGATCACGATGTCTGATTTTCCGGCCAAGAATGTCCCAGAGATGCTCAATCGGATTAATATCCAGACTACAGGCCGGCCAAGGAAGAGTGGCAATAGCTTCTTGACGCAAGTAAGCCAAAACTGCTCGAGATCTGGGTGGTCTAGCATTATCGTCCATGTAAACAGGTCTTGTCTGAAGAGGATGGTTGTCAAAATGAGGAAATACCACTGGACGAAGAACGGCATCTTGGGATTGTTGGTCATTTAGGTTTCCAGGAATTGTCACCAGGATAAGTTTGCAGCCGGAGGAAATACAACTCCATATCATGACAGACCCACCGCCACATGCTTAGGTCTTCTGAATGCTCTTGGTGCAAAACGAGTGTTACGTTGCCTCCAAACACATAGTCGACCATCAACAGTTCGTAGCAGCATTCGACACTCGTTAGACCAATGAATCCTTCTCCAGTTGGCCAAGTTCCATCGACTACGGGCACGACACCATATCAGACGATTTCGCATGTGCCTCTCAGTCAGTTGAGGACGTTTTACTGGTCTTCTGGCGTTATAACCAGTCGTACATAACGCGTTATGGTCATCGTCGAGAGTCTCTGATTGGTAATCCACTGCAGTCTTTAATCTGTTGAAGTGGCAAAAAGATTTGGTCTGACTATCCTGAAAAGACGTCTATCCTCTCTGTTAGAGGTCTTTCTTTGCCTACCAGACATTGACATCATTGGTTTGACCATGTTTGACAATCAAACGAGTGATAACACTGTGATGACGACCCATTTGTCTTGCAATGGCCCTGCATGACATGCCAACATTTTTCATACCTATCACTTGCCATCTTTCAGCGTTCGTTAACTTTCTTCTCACCATGGCTGATTTTCAACCTCTATTGGAAGGGGTATCTCACACAGGAGCAAAATGCAACCACGAGTCTGAAACTTTAATTTCACTATTTATAGGGTAGGGGAACTGCAGCAACACGTAAAGCAGGCCCTCCTTGTGGTATCTGGACAAATTTGGGTTCATGAAACTATGGAAGCCTAATTCAGTCATACATCATCATATTTCGTAATTCTGAGTCGGGCCAGGACGGGCCACCACGCGAATACACACGCACTAGGGACGATCGAGATGAGGACGTCGAGCGAAAGAGTTGGTCAGGTTAAGAATTAGTTTGAACTGGCTTGGACGCATTGTGAACGAGGTAGAGAACAAGGTTGAACTGGTTAAGAACGGGTTGAGAATGGCTACGGACGTGCTCGAACTGCTTCGAAACGTTGTCGGCATGCGGTTCACTTTTACATGATCTGAACCGGATACACACGGACTGCAGACTGGCCATGAACGAGATAGACGTATTGAGGACTGCTTTTGAACGAACGCGCATCGTATTTTACGCCAAACTACGCGTTCTACAGTGATCACAGCCCGTTCTAGTATTTTGTTTAGAACGGGTTAGAACAACTTTGGTGTGATGGTAGCATTACCATCAAGTGTTCAGTCGAATAGGTCTTGTTAGGATTTTAGCTCGCTGTCACTCGTCTACATATTGTTTCAAGTATTATTTTATAATCACTCAATGTACGCCTTTTCCGTAGTCACAGTCGCTTGTCAGTGTTCATTTTATTCTGATTTGCTTACTGCCGCCAAATTGTGGTCTGTGTTTACAGATGTGTCTTGCAATGATATACAAATAGTTCTCTCGCCCGCACCACATTGTTTGATGTATCTTAACCTCGCAGCCATAAACCGTTTAAAACGTGTTTAAACGAACTTCATTTTGAGTTCAACTTATCGTTACTTGGTAAGAAATATGTCACTTGTATGAACAGCATGTAAGTATGTTCTGCGTCCATTGTAGGTATTACGAGACCGAGAGCGGAAGCGCCGGACGCTCCAAGACCGAGACCGAAAGAGCCGGACGCTCCAAGACCGAAATCTCCGAAAATTGTGCAAGCATGAAATGAGATACACTTTACTTTCTGCTTCACGCTCCGGATCGCCACCTCATCGGAACTGAAGGGCTTTGTGGCAACTGTATAACTGTCAGATTTACAAAATGTAATACCCCTGCGGATTTAGATCAAGGCAGTTATATGTTAGTACTGATTAGTTTACTGCCAGCGTTGCTAACTTGTGACTATTCGCCCGTTGAACGTGTCTCACGCTGTGTGAGTTCAACTTGTATCTGCTTACTCAAAGCCTTCATGCTTTAGCTTGGTTTATTTTTAGTGTTTATGAATTCTTAAACAGACAGACATATATTTTATTTACTAATTTTGGCACCATGGCCCAAAGTACAATACAGTTTGCATATCAACATTTGTCATGATGTACATTAATAGATTTTAAAGTTACACTTTTTTTATTATAAAGGTTTGTTTTAAAACTACATCAACAGCATGGATGATATCATGACTTCCTCATATTTACCGTTAACTGACGGTCTTTAAAAATACCCTGCTACAAGGGGGGAAATGTATACCATAAACGAGTATATTTTTCACATATAAGTAAAACATGGTTTTCATCCTCTTCGCCTCCTTGTAAACAATTTGTACAAACAGAATAAAATATCACCGTCTGTGAACCTGCGTCATATACTCAACTCCAAAAGAAACGAGATGTTCGATGGTTGATATCATTAAACAGAAATGATGTAAAATTATAAAATAACTACACTTTTATAAAGACGACGTTACATTTTATTTTACATGGTAACATTTCCCAACACGCGACTTGCGATAATTGCACGCACGTTTCTGGACAATAGATAAAACGTGTAACACTCCTTATTAACAGAAGGTTTGAGAAGATTGAAATTGATTCATCGGACACCTTGGTATCTGGTCTCAAACATTAGCTGTTGGTTTTGTAGTTTGATTTTAAGTTTGACATAAAAACACCCTGTCCCATCTAACTCTGGAAAACTGGAAGTTGTTTGATCAAGGTTACAACATTCAAGGCCTCAGTAAAGCTTTCAACAAGTTTTATGGTAGACATGTTGAGGTCATTTCCAAATTTAACGCATCAGTGACAAAATGATGTCAGATGCAATTACCTCTTTTGACATGTACCATATGTTCCCATGTTTTTTTAAGGTGAACAATTGACTTGCCTTTCCACGTGTTTGTGACGGGTGCCACTAGTGGGGAAGGATACACTCACCCTTTCGCAAACACCTGGTATCATCACTTTTGATAGTGATTCATGTAGTCGAAAGGGTTTTGTCGCTTTATTTACTGAAGCTGGATGGAACATGTCACGAGTTGGCAGACACATTGATGTCCATCATTCCACAACTTACATGCTTCAGGAACATCACAAGTTGACCAACAGTGCAGATTATCGTCCATTAAGTGACCGACAGCGTGTGACGCTCGATAGAGAAGATCAGTTGATGGTGACGTCACATCTACGCAATAGAATCCCACGTACAACCACAGCTCCTCAAATGACGTATGGGACTCGCAACAGACCAATCAGCCATACCCGTTACTGAATGTGATTCATCAAGACTTTTGAACGTCGTGATCTTGAATCCGTAAAGATGTTTATGAAATGCTCTCTTAAGTGAAATCAAATAATTATGTTGTCATATGATGCCAATTTTGACTTGTTTCTGTTAACAAAGATCACTTTTCTAGCATGTAACTTTTACCACTTCAAATTCGCGTTGAGTGTACATTTACCTTAACATCGTGCAAGGAAATTCCCAATTTACAATAAGCTCTGATAAAACTTTTATCTTTTAAACCAATTAAAATATGTTTCAGTTTGTAAGAATGGTTTTACTTGGCTGTCATTGCTGAGATAAAGTGATGGAGAAATCAAGGGCATGTATTTGTAGTTCGCGAGAACCACAAGGCTAGGCCCAGGGGTTGGTGTAGCTTCACCGAAATGCGAGCCCCGGAGATACAGAGGATGGCCACTGTCCGGAATTTAGAGAGCAATTTGAGGGCTCTTTCCATGCCCTTGATGCATTACGTCAGAAATGAAATGAAGTGTACATAAAATCTCTGACACACCTTTCACTGTCAGCCCTCGTTTCGCTACGCCTATCGTGAAGACCATGGGAAATAAGATTACACAGCCGAGACTTGGCCTCCATGTTAATTTTTAAATCACGCATTTTAGATTTAAGAGTTTCATTTTCCTCCTCTAATTCTGTTAACCTGCGATTGCAGTCAAACGTAAACGTCTCAAACTTGTCATTGAGCGATGAGAACTGTCTGGATCGATTTAGTGTTATAGCGAGATCAGAGAGGGTGATGGCTTGACTGTCCGAGTTATCTGTCACAACACACTGACCAGATACATTTTGAGGGATGGTAAGGTCTGGATACGATTTCCCGATGTTGTAGATGGGTGATTGTATTTTCATGATTCAAATAAAACTGTTTTCTATTAAAAACAATCCAGGCCCCTCGGCTGGCTATGGCACTGCTGTAGCTTTGGTAACGTAATCGTAATGACAGCCTTATGGAATTTGATATTAACATGCACATACAGATAGAAAGTTGCCCGCTCGGAGACCCTGCTGTGTCCTTGAACCTGTGATTAACCCGATAAATTGTGTGTTTATGATCCCTGTAATAGTATCATTGAAAATGTATCACTTCCGATTTTAAACATGGCTGCTTTGGCATCCACCTTGATATCAACCATTTTGTATTGGAATATATGCAGTAACTAAAGTGTTTGTCAAGAAATGCAGCTTTTTCTTCATCTCACACGTCGGTGGAATAGCTTTAATTGATAACTACATATATTGTGTGATAGATCCTTGATAGTGTGTCTCTAGTAATTGCTTCCATAACTCCTATCCATTTTTTCATTGTCAGTGTGTTACGTACTTAAGTTTTAGTGCTTTTAAACTTTGTGTGTTGCCTAAGACTGAAAGATATACAAAATACGAATGTACATGTAGCCTTTCCTGAAACGAACTGAATAAATACTGTTATTCAGTTTTAAATGGTTAATACAAAAACTCAAGATTGACAAATATAATACACGAATCACTGCAATTACGGTTATCCCAGCGATTATCTAAAAAAACATGTGTTTGTTATGTTTTTGCGTTATACAAGGCTTTCAGTTCGGGAATAATCCACGTCATCTGGAACAAAGGGATCATGTTCACCTTGGTCTTGCTGCGCCTACTGAGACTGATGTGACTAATCGTGACGTCAGCATTAAAGGTTGTAATTCTAAATACCCAAACGACAAAACCCTTTCCATAATCATAAGACATATCTGTTAAAAGCATTTGTTTCCGTCACAAACACATGCAAAGGCTGGTCAACTGTTCACCTGACAAAGCACGGGAACGTATGGTACAAATCAAAACATGAAGCTGCATTGGACATCTTTTTTTGTCACTGATGTGTGGAATTTCGAAATGTTCTCCACATGTCTAGCATGAAACCTTTTGAAAGCTATACTCTTGAGCAAGAGTTGTATGACGCTCTTTGAAATATTCGTGCAAAAGGCATGCTAGATTTTACCTCAAACTTTGTGACTTGTAGATACCAAAGGCTGGAAGTGGGGCTGCTCGACTTCAAGGGACAGTTGACTTCTTTGTTTGTTTGTTGTTAAACGTCACACTCAGCAATATTCCAGCTATATGACGGGGGTCTGAAAAATAATCGAATCTGGATCAGACAATCCAGTTATTGACATCATAAGCATCAATCCACGCAATTGGAATACAATGACATGCATCAATCAAGTCAGTGAGCTTGACCACCCGATCCCCTTAGTCGCCTCTTACGACAAGCATAGCCGCCTTTTACAGCAAGCATTGGTTGCTGAAGACCTCTTCTAACCTGGATCATCACGGGTCAGGACAATTGACTAATGGAACGTCAACACCGTTTTTCATTCAGTCCTGAAGATATATTTTGTCTCTGAATCTTTAAACAGATTGGGGCCATTTAACTGGTCTCTTTTATTTGTAGCATAGGTAGGCAAATCAGTGGAAGGGAATTGGCCATTGGACCATTTTTGAAATGCTAAAACATGTCACCTGCGATGACACACAAAATATTGTTCGAACACCACATATGATAGATGACACAAGGGATTGTGTGTTTTGAAACTTAAAACTGAGAAGATGAGAGTCTTTAATTCATCCACTCATTTGGAGATATAAAACGGTGTGGCGGACATTGCAGGCTTGAAATTCGAGGTAACATGACCACATGCATAATGTGCCATTCAGTGGTTTTTCACATGTCCACTGAAACAATTATCTTCCTTACATGTATGGGGTCAAACACTGAAATATGTCATACATGTAATTACCACCAACGGAGAAGGAAGTTCGCTCAGCCAGAAGTGGAGATTGTGATATTAGATGTAACTGGATAATTATACATATCTCAAATACCAATGATCGGATATTGGTGATCAGTAGCGTGGTCTGACGGACGCACCATGCTGAGTGCAGTGATAGCGCTATTTAAACCAATTGACGCACGGGTCATCCCAACTATTATCGTTCGTAGATTATGGTATATAAGGTAGGTGGAATGAATTAAGAGTATTACTGCTGACGTTTGTGAAGGAACAAACATGAGAATGTACAACGCAACACTTGTCCTCAGCATTGTTTTCTGTTGGAATGTTATTGGTAAGTATATTTCATTTTGCTATTGTCGTGCGAGAGGTGAGATAAAATTGGGATTAACGTCGCGTCCAAGATTATTGCACCTATATAGCGACGTGCATGTACGTGTGTATGGCTACTTGTACTAGTCCGGACTGATGCCAATTTATAGTACTAGCTCACTGAGATACCATGCCGCAGTTTAACATGAATATCCCACTCAGACACAGTATACTGACTCCGAGCCGACAAGTCCTTGATTTAGCCCCTTAATGCCGAGCGCCAAACAGGGTAACAACAAGTACCATCTTTTAACGTCTTTTGGTATGACGTGGCCAGGGATCGAACCCCGGACCTTCCGCTTTCCGAGCGGACGCTCTACCTCTAGACCACGGGGGCGGTCCTGGTCCGACGTAGCTGCATATTGTTAATATAGAAAATTGCTGTGCACAAGTTCCTTATTCGAGAACCGATGGAAATACTGATGGAAAAAAGTAATGCAACAACGCAATATGTTGGAACATTATAGTATGGATACCCTCACACTGACAAAATAACACACAGCGAAATCAATGCATATCCGTTACTGTCATCTGCCAGTACGTTCGGGATGCGATGTTCAACTATGCTTCACCGTTTATAGTCTTAATTTATGTGATGGCCCAGTCATCTCAGGCGCCGCAATTCGCTGTGCAGAGTTGCGTCCCGACAGCACGCCAAAAACCTATGATTGTGGGTTCGAATCCCGGTTTTCCCCAGTTATGTTCCTAGGTTTTCGTGGGTTTAACCAAAATGGTTAACGTCGGAGACCTGTATCACTTCGGGCTTTCTTCTCACATTAAGCTCACACGCCGTGATATAACTGGAATACTGTTCAAAGCGGAATTAAACACTCACGCACCCAATTATTTTATGTCAATATATTTTCCCTAGGTGCAATCAACATGGCGTTTCAAATTATGTTTGAGGAAATCAGAAAATAATGATTTATCGAAATGTAGACATTATCGTCATATCACCTGTTAAACGTCATCAAACTTCCATGCGACAGGGCGGTCGGGTAGCCTAGGGGTTAAAGCGTTCGCTTGTCACGCTGAAGACTCGGGTTCGATTCCCGACATGGGTGATATCAGCCGTGATATGGCTGGAATATTGCTAAAAGCGACGTAAAACCATACTCACTCACTCACTCACTCACTCACTCACTCACTCCATGCTACAATTGGCGAAACCTGTTCACGATTATTTCACACACACAGTATTCGGAGCCACAGTGCCTCACCTGCCGGGTGTTATGTCGGGAGCCAACGGACAGAGCATATTCGACTTTGACAAGAACGAAGACGGCGTTGTTAACGGCATGGAGCTGTACAGCGTGTTGACCTACCTCGACGGTAGACTCGGTTACACACCGAAAGAGGCCAGAGTCATTCTCCAATTGGCCGATACTGATGGGGATAACCAACTGGACATTTCAGGTAGGTGCAATCCTCCACTTGTTTTTATGCAAAGGAATTTTAATATAGTGCATGCCTGTCAACAATTTCGTGTTATATCAGAATAATACTTTTATCTTTTCTTATAACAGTGATTTTTCATAATATCATGAATATGTTAATTCATTAATAACACAGTTCATGTGTATTAAAAATGATAAATAAAAGCGACAAAACATTTTCAATAATCATCAGAAATTTCTGTATGATTTCGACTATATGATAAACATGAATTTATGAATCAAATAGTGAAAATGTGACCCACCAGAGGCATAACAAACACATGCCAAGGCAAGTCAATTATTCACCTGAAAAACACAGGAACATATGGTAAATAAATATGAACGGATGATACATTTAAAAGATGGTACTTGTTACAATGCCTGACGCTCAGCAATGAGGGAATAAAGCATGGGTGGTTGAAAGTCTATTAAATAAATGCGAGTGGGGTATCCATGTTAAACATGGTGTCTTACTGGGCAAAGCACTTCAAAAATCTGGACTAGTGCAAACAGCCATACGCATACTTGTATACACATCGCTTTAAGAGTGCAATAATCTTGAACGCGACATTAAACCCCAATTCCCCTAAAGTCTCCTCTAAAAATATGAAGTCGATATTTCACTTGAGTTAATATCACGTCATGCCGCATAAGCCTTTGAACATGTGCCTATTCCTGTTTATCAAATTTCATGACGAGTCATTGGACAAGACATGAAAAGGATCATCATGTAATCCATATAGCTCACTGGAGTATATCAATCTGCCGATGTGACGAATATTGTACAGTAATAAATCTATTCAATAGCGCGTTTCGGGGCGGTGGGGTAGCCTAGTAACTAAAGCGTTCGCTCGTCACGCCGAAGATACGGGTTCGATTCCTCACATTGGTAAAATGTGTGAAGCCTATTTCTGAAGTGATATGGCTGGAACAGTGCTAAAAGCAACATAAATGCATACTCACTCACTCACTCACTCACTCACTCACTCACTCACTCACTCACTCACTCAATAGCGCGTTTCGGTGTGCAATATTTCTTGGTAGATGAAAACGTTAGTAGTATAAGGGAAGATATTAATAACTACATTTTCTTTTCAGATCTTCTGCAGTTGTCCATGCTTGTTGAGACAGAATCACTTCAGCACAAATGACAAGTTAATAACATATATCGTATGTAACTATATTTCACATGTATTTGTATAGTTAAGAAAATATACTTTAAAAATAAAATAGTATTTTGCCCCAGTACTGTCTCTAGTTTTATTTGAGTCAAAACACAATCAACGCGGGTGGAACACACCTAGGCGGTTTGGGTTGCCAGACGCGGTGCTGTAGCTGGAATATTGCGCACGTGTTAATGTTTCCTTTACTGAGCCTGTGAACATGTTCCGGTCGGAGAAGAAATTTGAACTACAGTATAGAGGTCATCACGAGAGTCTCGTTTGGAATGGTAAATATCCTGTAATAGGAATAAACCCCACCTGTATTTTGCGACATAATTTCATCCTCAAGTTCATCACAAACGTATTTTCATCTCTCACAAATGGTACTTAAACATTGCATGTTTTCCTGGAAAGTGCAAGATCGGGTTCAGTGACCCATGCTTGCCGTAAAAGGCGACTTTGCTTGTCGTAAAAGGCGACTATCGGGATCGGGTGGTCAGGCTCGCTGACTTGGTTGATGCATGTCATCGATCCCAATGTCGGGGATCGAGGCTCATGATATTAATCACTGGACTGTATGGTCCAGACTCGATTAATGATAAACCGCCGTCATATAGTTGGATTATCGCTGAGTGCGGCGTTAAACAACAAACCAACCAACCAACACATTAATATATCCCGTGCAACAGGAATGACATGGAGAAATGCTGAGTATGGACGTGGCGAACAGACAATCCAGGAAGAAAAGCTCGTGATTTCATTAAAATGAACAGACTGTTTCCAGCATGACATTTCATTGGCGGCCTACGCGAGGTCACAGTTTGTTGAACATTGATAAAACGATGTCTTTTCCGCAAGACGAACCACAGGTAGTCACCATAAATAAAGTCCAACCAAATCAACAGTCCCTCCCTTATAGAAGCCGTAACCCAACTTCGTCACAGGGGGACCTGCATCAATTCCACGAACCCAGGTCATCTCGTTCAACGAACTATTCCTTCTGTTTATTATCGGAAGTCGTATGTTTCCACAATCCAAAAATCGTCCTCGGTAAATGACACTTCCAAATATAATACTTACAATTCTTTGTCGTAGATCATTTACTGGACGTCAGACAAATTAACCAACGATTGGTGCGACGACTTGCCCCAGAGGGCTGTTCTGAAATAGTAGCACATCTATGTGAGCAAGACCTCCGACCTGTCAGACAGCACTCTTTTGTGTATTAAATCACGTGCAGCCATGCTGACATGCAGAGGTTGTATTATGACATACTGCTTACGAAATAATGGTTTAACAGAAACCTGGTTTGGACATACGGCACCAGTTTCAGACGCCCAGTGTGATAATAAAAGGTTAGTTCATGTCGAATCATAAATATCACGAAATTGGAGCCATATTCACAATACAAATAGGTAGTGATAGATTTATGGAAATCAGAAATGTCCAAGATGCACAAGCGTTGAGCATAAGGTTTTGCTAAGGTATGCTTGGACCCCTAAAGAGATTAGGTCGTCGGTGTCCGTACACAACGTGTAGACAATTGGCATCTACCACCCCATAGCTGTTTCTGGAGGCACGCCTGATCGTTCTGTATGGAAACCATAGATACTACATGCAATTGATTAACTCGTGATGGTTTTTCACAACGGTCTGATCGACTTCCATATGTATGTCATGTGCGACATACTTGAGCTCCATCGTATTTGGTTTCTGTGATATTTTCACAAATGTGAACAGATGTTAAGTTGAATTACATCAGTAAGTGCACTTAAATTGTACCGACTGGGGGACATCGCTATCCGTGGCATTGTAGATACGAAACGACAACGCCAGTGAATAACCAGTCTCGATTATCCGACGAAACGGATTCTAAAAGGCAAAATGGTGTAAAATATGTGAAGGGATCTTAGTGATGACATCAGATGTTCGGGAAAAGGGTAAACATGTCCTGTCTTATCGGTAGCACCCGCCACTGACGCAATTATTTACAAAAAGTATGTTGTTTTGCCTCACGCACATCAGGGCTCCTGTCATGTCACGGTGACATGGGAACAAACCAGACAATCAAGTGATGGAAATCAATTAGGATGATATGCTGACTGATAAACAATTGGCACCATACACCTGTCACGTCCATCTAAGTACAGGGGGCACGGGTGGCCGGCCCAGTCGTCTAGGGCGCCGCGATTCGCTGTGCAGAGTTGCGTACCTTTGGCACGCCAGAAACCTATGATTGTGGGTTCGTATCCCGGTTCACCCCGATTATGTTTCTAGGTTTGTCAGCACCATATCCGTGCTCGTGGGTTTCACCGAAGTGGTAAACGTCTGAGACCTGCATCACTTCGGGCTTTCCTCCCACATTAAGCTGACACGCCGTGATTAAATTGGAATACTGTTAAAAGCAACTCACTCACTCACTCACTCATCTAGGTACACGCTCATTAGAGAGTGTCCCGGGCGCTTATTACGTCGAATACGTATATAAATAAAAATGTAAGTGCATTTAATGTGTACATTACCTGCTTGATTCAGCTGTAGTGTGTTCGGTAAACAGCCAGCAAGAAACTACCTAGTTGCCCTTTTCCTTTTATTATCAACCTAAAAGTCAAAACGGTTTATGTAGAATGACAGTATAGACACGACCATGCCGGTCAGGTAGACACGTATCCGGTACAGATCTATCAATACGCCATCAGGTCGGCATTGCACACCACCACCCAAAACTTACAAGCCAGACACAGGCGTAGATTGTTGTCAGTTTGTGTGATAGTGTAACACTGACATTTGGCGTAACGAACCTTCCACAAGATCATATCAGAACAGTGATGAGACGCCACGTGTATCTGCGATCTAGGTTCAGTGATTTCATATACACGACACTATAAATTCACCACAAAATGTCAACTGTTCGCCGAAAGCACTTGTATTTCTCAAAGTTCAACGTCTAAACTTGTAGACGCACGTAAGGTCGGGCACCTTTATACCCCGCACATGGTTGAGGTTGGTGAGTGAAAGAAGAATGTCTAACACGTTTGTCGAGATTTTGGGTCAACATGAAATGATTTCAAGTTGTAGCGAGGACCAATATCCACTCAAGTCAGTCTCGACAAACTATGGCAACCGCCTTGCACAGCCCTCACATGGAACCGTCTGGGAGACTTGTTTCTGATAACATCAACACATATATGCTGATGCGTTTGGAACCTTTCGTAGACTTGTCAAAACCCTTACCATATTCATAAGAAATTTCAGCAGTGTCTATTGTAGATTCCGACTATGTCGTGAGCACAATCAAAAAGTGGTGATACCAGGTTTTCGCGAAAAGGAGAGCGTACCCCACCGTTCGCCTGGAAAAACACGGGAACATGTGGTACTAGTCAAAAATAGGGAACTGCATGATTTTTGTCATGAAATGCGTAAAATTTGGAAATGTCCTCCACGTGTGTACCATAACACTTTTTGAAAGCTTTACTGAGGCCTTGAATGTTGTAACCTTGATCAAAAAACTTCTCAGCAGTTTGATGCCGCTTTTTGAAATCCTCGTAGAAAGAGCTTGCTCGGTTGTACCTCCACAGTTTTAAATGTATAGCCAATGTCAGGCTGTATGTGTGTGTAGCTGTATGTGCTGCATATCAGTAGCATCCATAGCCCATGTCAGCCTGTATATGTATTTAGCTGTGTGTGCTGCATATCACTACCATCCCTGGCCCATGTCAGCCTTTGTGTATGAGTAGCTGTGTGTGATGCATATCACTAGTTTCCCTTACCCATGTCAGGTTGTATGTGTGAGTAGCTTTGTGTGCTGCATATCACTAGTTTCCCTTACCCATGTCAGGTTGTATGTGTGAGTAGCTTTGTGTGCTGCATATCACTAGTTTCCCTTACCCATGTCAGCCTGTATGTGTGAGTAGCTGTATGTGCTGGATATCACTAGTTTCCCTTACCCATGTCAGCCTGTATGTGTGAGTAGCTGTATGTGCTGCATATCACAAGCATCCCTAGCCCATCTAATCCCTTTTGTGTGTGTAGCTGTGTGTGCTGCATATCACTAGGTTCCCTTTCCCATGTCAGCCTGTATGTCTGAGAAGCCGTGTGTACTGCATACCACTAGTTTCCCTTACCCATGTCAAGCTGTATGTGTGAGTAGATGTGTGTGCTGCATATCACTAGTTTCCCTTACCCATGTCAGCCTGTATGTCTGAGAGGCCGTGTGTACTGCATATCACTAGTTTCCCTTACCCATGTCAAGCTGTATGTGTGAGTAGATGTGTGTGCTGCATATCACTAGTTTCCCTTCCCCATGTCAAGCTGTGTCTGTGTGTAGCTGTGTGTGTGCTGCATATCACTAGTTTCCCTTCCCCATGTCAACCTGTATCTGTGTGTAGCTGTGTGTGTGCTGCATATCACTAGTTTCCCTTCCCCATGTCAACCTGTATCTGTGTGTGCTGCATATCACTAGTTTCCCTTCCCCATGTCAACCTGTATCTGTGTGTGCTGCATATCACTAGTTTCCCTTCCCCATGTCAACCTGTATCTGTGTGTGCTGCATATCACTAGTTTCCCTTACCTATGTCAGCCTGTATGTGTGAGATGCTGTGTGTGTACTGCATATCACTAGTTTCCCTTACCCATGTCAACCTGTATCTGTGTGTAGCTGTGTGTGTGCTGCATATCACTAGTTTCCCTTCCCCATGTCAACCTGTATCTGTGTGTGCTGCATATCACTAATTTCCCTTACCCATGTCAGCCTGTATGTGTGAGTAGACGTGTGTGCTGCATATCACTAGTTTCCCTTCCCCATGTCAACCTGTATGTGTGTGTAGCTGTGTGTGTGCTGCATATCACTAGTTTCCCTTCCCCATGTCAACCTTTATCTGTGTGTAGTTGTGTGTGTGCTGCATATCACTAGTTTCCCTTCCCCATGTCAACCTGTATCTGTGTGTGCTGCATATCACTAGTTTCCCTTACCTATGTCAGCATGTATGTGTGAGATGCTGTGTGTGTACTGGATATCACTAGTTTCCCTTCCCCATGTCAACCTGTATCTGTGTGTAGCTGTGTGTGTGCTGCA